TAACTAAAGGGTATAAAATATTACCAGAATGTAAAAACATGTTTTTTACTGAGACACTCTACATATGTATTATTTTAAATTTAGATTAAGTTCATTTTGGCTATACTTCCAATATAAGCTTTTAATAAATTATACCGACATTTCAAGTTATGACCAAATGTATACACGAAAATCATTCTGATTTCAATGCCCTGTATACCATATACAGAAAAACCTGACATGAGAACAAATTTTAAATGGGAAACCTTGTATATTTATGTTTTTAGAGTGACAGTACACTTAATGTCCTTTCAATTTTATTAAACATTTCATATACCTAAAATTATCAATTACCAAATTGAAGAATGGAAACATTACACAGAAAGCAATCCAGAAATGCTCACAAGAAGAAATTTGAAGATAATAACAATACCATATGTAAAGGGGTTATCAAAAAAATTAAAAAGGATAGGAAATAAATACAATATCGCAACATGCAAAACAACCAATACATTGAGAGCTATTCTGTACCAAACTAGAACAAACAACAGAGGAGAGATCAACGAACTGCATCTATAAAATATCTTTTGAATGCAACATTTTTATGTGGGAGAAACCTCAAGACCACGAAGTGTTAGGATAAATGAGCATGAATTACACATAAAAAAGAGACTTCGACAGATCCAAGAGATATGCAAACATACCTGGGACAATGAACACAGATTAAAATGAAAAGGTGCATCAATAGTTATAAAAAAACTAGACCGAAAAAAATCAGAGAAACCGCCTTCATTAAACTTAAACAAACATGTTTAACAAACCCATCAACAAAATGTAGCAGACTCTAGTTACGAATACTAAAAGAATATGTCAATAACAAGAATATATCAATATTAATGGATTAATAGAAGAAGGTCGAAGACACATCATATACAACTACATAAACACACAAAAATCAGAATTTGATATTAATCCGAGGGTACAGAATTCAGAATAGGTATATTCAGAATACAGAACTCAGAGGATACTCAGAATTTCAACTCGAAACATGGCTATTTTCCTACAAAATCCAGGCTAAGTTAGTTACATGTCAAATTGGCTGAAACAAAGCGCCAATTAATAAACAACTATAGGTTAAAATAACTCCTTTTTATATTAATTTTTTTTTGAAAATAATTTCCGGATTGGAGGTCGAAACTTCAAAACAAATGTAAAATAATTTTTATTAGATTAAATTTTGATTTAACCCCATATAAATACAATATTTGTGTAAATTAATTAATTACTGAGATATTTCCAATTACATACCATAATATAAATATTTTTTCTTTACTTTTCAATTATAACCATCATGTCATCAGGTCATGGTCAAATGACATATAATTTAATTAACTGGACTTCTTACGCTTCTGTGATGTTAAATAAATGTTTTTAAGGTTGTAACAAATTCGTTATTAAGACAAACTTTTTATTAAAATAATTAATGTTGCAATGTTCAAAATGTCCACAACATATCTATGGCATTACATTCGATCTCTTCTTTCATTTGATTCTTCAATACTCAAAAATGAATACTCTGCAATGCAGCTTGTGTTCCATATTTGCGCTGTTGAAGGTATTTGGTACACATGATTTTTCAGATAAACTACATGAAGTCAATTTTATTTAATCCTGGTTAAATAAAGGAGCTAGCCATTGAAAGGGTCTTCCTCTCCCCACCCATCTGCCAGAGAACTAGATATTAAAATTATTATGAATTAATATAGTATGATGTATCGGGCCGCTGTAGCGTAAAAATTACATTATTTGCCGAATTCAGAGGAACATTTGCCAATGGCAAGTAATGATAAATGATTTTACAAAATGTCTAAATAAGCATTAACATTCACTGGGAATTGGGGGGACATGAAAGGAGCCTCCGCGAAGATTACGACCACATGTGAAAGCAATCGGGCGTCCCCTGGAAACGAGTAATGTCCCCAGGGAAGTACCTTCAATGAAGTTGAAGTAAAACTGACAGATGCCCTAGAAGACTTAGCACTATACTATGACGAAAATCATCTGAAACCCAATCCTACAAAAATCCAGGTGTGTGCTTTCCACCTTAGAAACAAGCATGCCCGAAGGACACTGGAGGTGGAATGGCGTGGTCAGATACTGGAACAAAATGAGATATCAACATACCTCGGCGTACGTCTTTATAGAACTCTGTCTTATCGATATCACTGTCAAGATATAAAAAAAGAAATAATATCATCCGCAAACTTACAAACACAAAATGGGGAGCACCAGTGTGGGAAAACTCTGCTCACGCTAAAAACGTCGATGTTGCGTTAAATGAAACGGTTCGTATAATATCTGGTTGCCTGAAACCGACACCTATCGAAGAGGTCTACGCTATAGTTGGAATCGCTCCACCTGCTATCAGAAGACAGGTCACGTCAGAGATAGAACGAAAGAAGAAGATGGATCGAAGACACCCCTTGTATGACCACCAAGGTTAGCCAAGTAGATTAAGATCTCGGAAAAGCTTTCTAAAAAAATCACGATCCCTTCCCGAAGAGCCAAAGACGCGCTGAATACATTGCTCACTCAGAGGAAATGGCTGCTGGACACAATTTGCCGTATCCCACATGGAAAGCGCTAAACAGACTAAGAACTGCTGTTTCACATTGTGCTAGTAACCTGATGAAATGGTGATTCCAAGAGAACGATACCTGCGACTGTGGCGAAGTTCAGAATAATCACCATCTACTATCATGCACAGAGATGAGAGAGACCTGCACAGAAGACCTATTCTTAGCGAATGACAGGGCCATCTATGTGGCCAACCCTTGGAAACACAAAATTTAAAGCTGTTGGTGTTACGGACACGGAAAATAAGTAAGTACTGGGAATTGAAAAATGTAGTCCAATTACATGATCTCCAACTATACCGCCGTAAGTATTCAATTACCACCTCTTTTGACCAAGAGTGCTACGAAATACGGATTAGAAGTTGAATAATGAAAATGCCTATTTCAAACTGATATCATGGTGGCGCAAAATTTCACATGTACTGAAATGTTGATTATGGGCTGGATTATGGACAACTTCCACACATTCGCACACTAGATTTATTTTCTCGGTAATAACTGTTCTTTCCTTTAGTTTTTTTTTTTTCGTAAACTAATGAATCCGTACGGGTAAAAAGATCTACTAATGTTTCCAACTTTATTTTCACGATTTGTCTCTTGGTAAATTCTCTGTGATAAACAATTTTTAATACATTCTTCCAATAACCCTTTCATAACTGTTAATTCATCAACAGGAAAGTTCATTTCATGAAACAGTATAAAGTGGTTTCAAGTTAATGAGCAGTGCAGAAATTCCATGCAGTTTGTTAACTGACTAGTTAATAATATTATTTAAGACTGTGTTTCTGTCATATAACCTTTTTGACTTTTGAAATACCCCGTATAATGTAATAAAACCAGATTACGCAAGTATGGACGAAATGAGCTTAATCTAAATTTAAAATAATATGTACAGTCTCTCATTAAAAAAAATGTGTTTGGCTTTTGACTCCTAGTAGTAGATTACACTCTGTATATACGAAAATAAATTTATAATGTGAATTATAGGCGATGTCAAACGAAAGAGGCGGCACGGTGCGGTAAAAATATGAACTAGTGCACGTAGGATAACAAAACATTTTGTATTTAGTTATACACACATAACAGTTATAAACATTTTAAATATTATTAAATAAAGCACAATAAGGTAACAAAATGTTAAAAAGTAAATGTAAACAGTATTGTTCTGCACGGCAATACAGTAATTATCGATCGGAAGGAATAACTATGCACTTTTTTCCTCGTGACAAAAATCTACAAGATCGTTGGGCACAGGAATTAATAATTGGGAAATCAATATCAAGTGATATGATCGTGTGTTCACAACATTTTTTATCAACAGATTTTTTTTTCAAGTAAATTTGCTGAACAGAATTGCAACATTTATTATATATAATGTGCCTACATAACCTAATCAAATATATACGCTAACATAGATCTTAATTAAAATTTCTATTACAACTGCAGCAGGGCAAAACAAACTTTCAAAGAAAGGTGTTATTCCCTCTCAATACCTTCTTAAAGGAAAACACGAAAGAAAAATTAATGAGGAACTGGTGAATGCTAGACTAATGCGTAATAAAACACACGCACATTCCTCCCTGGCGGGCTTTACAAGTGCATTTTACCACCCACTCATAACAGATCCACAGTGATTTCATGTGGGGCACCATTTAAATTAGTCGTTTGCAAACACAAACCGACTAATTTGTTATTATATTTGCCACCCAACACAACGGCCTTCTTTTAAAGGTCTTTTTGTGTCTCCTATATATTTCAAAATATGGAGCAGACTAACTTCAGTTTCTTTATTTGCCATTGCGTTAACAAAAAATAAATGCAAGATAATAAATACGGATAATTTTTAGACACAACAATCGTTCACCTACAAAGATTATGGTAGCTCTGTTTTCTTTTGCTACGTGTGTCATCAGCTGATCATCTGTCAAAGCGCCCCCTATAGTTTGTTGACATCGCCAATAAAGTTGCTCCTAATTTTTGTAAATAAGTTTTTTTTAACAGATATATCTTATTTCGACGCAATATTGCCTCACCTATAGATTGTGAAAGTATAAAATAAAAAACTGTGGACTAATTTTAAACCATACTGCTTTAGTTTTAATAAATCACATTATGAAAAAAATCAACAAGTAACTCAAATTCTACTTTTGAAAAAGATATTGCTTTATGACTACTTACAGAAAATCTAGTTGTCATACAATAAAGAAATCGATAGTTTTAATTATTGCTCAATTATAATAATTTGGACATTCAAATTTCAGCATTACCAATTCTTTGTAATTCAATGAAAAATACATAAATTTTATTTTTTGGTTTGTCTTCAGAGTAAAAATTAACATATTAGGCGCATACATATATTTCGGTAAATTAAAAAAAAACACTTACCTTTCCCTTCTGCCCCTTTTCGCTACTGTTACTATCGGTGAAGGTTCCTCTATTTCTTTCTTTTTTGCGGGTTTCTCAGGAGTTTTTTTCATTTCTTTCTTTACCTAATAAAATAACGATTTACTTGACAGATTTCTTTTTTGGCAATTTATAATATGACAGATATAATTCAATTATTTTAAATTTCAGACGACGTCACGTCTATATAATGGATAGTTTTGTCGTATAGGAGGGAGTTAAATATAAATAATCTTAGACCACGGATAGCGGATCTGTGAAAAAACGACATTTGGATGTAGGTGGTATTTTGGTTTTTGCAGAAATTTACCTTTCAAATAGGTCGGGAATATTAATAAAAAAATTAAAAATATGTAAAAGTTACTAAAAATATCGTTTTTTCTACTTTCATTGCTTATAAACTATAACGATTTATTTTGGAGCAAAGTCGAAATGAAATAAAATAGCGATAATTGAATTTTATATAAGATACGACTGGTAAAAATGTTTTAATTTATTTTCCTTGCTATAAAATGGCAATAAATGCAAAAAAGTGCGTGGAAACAAGCCTTTTCTTATTTAATGTTTTTCAGCCACTTAGATTGCGCTTAGGATATTCATAATTCGTCTAGAAAATTTTTATTATATATTTAAACAGTCCATCAAACATTAAAACCGATTTAATAGATTTCGCATATTTTTGCAATCTATTTTTTTAATTGAAGTTCCTTAAAATCTTTTACAACAAAAATAGATCATGTAGAAGTTTGGCAATTTTTTAAGTATAAAAAGCACTCCACCTATCTAACTTGATTCTATTATATAGAATTAAAATCGGATTGCCTGCGCGACTTCAAAAACATTTTAAAAATTGGCTTAAACAAATATATCTCGATAACTATAATATTTATATTAACCCTCCGTTAGTCGCTATCGGTCTCACACACCGACGAGAGAATTATTCATTCGGGATTTACAAATAACTGTTATTTTTCTATCGCCACTTTCTGTACCTCTCCCTATCAAGCAAACTCGTGTTAGTGTACATTCTTACTTTCCTGGGTACAGCTGTGTGAGTTTTATAGATATTTTCGGTGCCAGACTCCGTAGCGCCTAACGGTGTAGCTATTACTTGTTGAGAACTTGCAGAACAGGTAAAAATTTATCATCTTATTATTGCATTTTATCAGTAAGTTTTTGTCAATTCTTATTTATAGATGTCCTTTGAAGCCGAACATCTTTGATTCAAACGCTCGTTGGAATTATGGACAATGGTACCTACCGACGATGAAAATTATTTTGACGATGAGGGAAGTGAAAGCGAAATCGATCAAATTGAGGAACGTGATAGTGAGAGTGAATCGGAACAAGATGTGACAGATGAGGAAGAAGAAAGTGGAAGTAATACCCTAGCGTTTATTGGAAAATATGGAGTTACTAGGTAGAAAAAGGCTAGTCTACCGTGAAATGTTAGAACAAGACAAGAAAATTACATAGTACGTAATACAAACTAATATTTGCATTTTTAGAACGATATCCGAAGTGGAAATTAAAACGTCAATAAACTTACTTTAACCTTTAGTTAAATAAATATAAACGATAACATTCTAAAATGTGACATAATTGTTAATAAACTTCAATATCAATAAGATTTCATGTGACAGTTGGGACAAACAATAACATAACCCAACTAAATTTGATTTCTTAAACAAGGAAAGACTCTCTTTCCTTGTTTAATGTGGCCTCTCAAGATAGCACTTCCTGTCTAACAATATTTTTGCCCCCACTACCTTTACATTCCCTCTTTTGTCTTTTTGCTCGATGATTAAATCAGATACATAAAAAAACTTCACATGAGCCCGTGCGTATACAGATTGAACCAAATTAAAACGGAACATACCATTTAATACATGTCTGTTTGAACTGCATTTGAAATAGTGGACCAATATAAAACTTGGACAAAAATAAATCCATAACCTGGGTATAGACATTGTATAAAATATCGTTCAACTATCTGTCTCGTAACAATGTTGTTTGCGTAAGACGGGTTTGTCTAAGGCAGCGATAATAGTTCAGGAAATGAAGCTCGAAGAAAGTTAAAACTTCGCAATTTTTTCGTCCTGCATGTATCCAGATGAAATTTTAACAGAAGGTAGGTGATAGCCCAAGGATCAAAATCTATATCGAACCGAAGTGCGCTGAAGGGTTTTAGGGGTGAAATCTATCCCTAATTGTCAAAAATTATAAAATAACATATTAAACCTGAATATGGGTAAGATTTGGTTTGAATTAGTTAAATTATGATTATTTTATACTTTTGAATAGAGTTCCATAATATTTCAACCCTTAAAAAGCAACCCTTGTTAGAGATTAATGTAAAAAATTACTATTTCTAAAAAAATGTTTTATCCTTAGATCGATTTGGATAAAAATTTGGATTTAAGCTTAATTCACCCGCTGCTTTATAGTTTATGTCATGTCGACGAACCCTGATTGTTCTTAGGGGTGAAAACTACCCCCAATAGTCAAAAATTATAAAATAACATATTAAACCTGAATATGGGTAAAATTTGGTTTGAATTAATTAAATAATGATAGTTTCGTGCTTTTGAATAAAGTTCCATCATATTTCAACCCTTAAAAAGCGACCCTTATTAGAGATTAATATAAAAAAATTAGTAATGCGAAGAAAATGATTTCACCTTGGAACGATTTGCATAAAAATTTGGAACTCACCCTCTGCTTTATAGTTTATGTCATGCCGATGAACCCTGATTGTTCTTAGAGCTGAAAACTACCCCTAATTTTCAAAAATTGTAAAATAATATTACAAATCTTAAGATGAGTGAAATTTGGTTTGGATTAGTTAAATAGTGATTTTTTTATACTTTAAAATACAAATTCATACATTTTCAACCCTTAAAAATCAATTGTAATGAGTGCTATAGGTGAAAACAATTTTTTGCCAAAATTTTGCAACTTTTCAACTTTTGAAAATCACCCTGTACAACATTGCAGTTTTTATAAACTAATTTATAAGATATAAATTGAAAAAAGTAGAATTAAATACAAAAAAATTTATCAAGATAAAAAGGCATTGGCAAAAAATAATTTTCAAAAGTTCATCGGGTGCAGGTTGTTTGTTCATGCGTACAGGTAATAACAAACCATCTTTGGAATACCATCCCCAATCTGTTGTTCTGATATTTTCATTGCCAAGCCATAGACATATGAGCAGATGTTTTATTCTGTTGTATGGGATTTCAAAATAAGAACGCTTAAAATTTCGAATGTATAACGCCCCACAAGCTAATATACCGGTTTTGTAGATTATTATGCTCCGAAATGTACTGTACTATACTAATGGAATTTTCCGGAAAAAAATTAACTGGTTTTTTTAACGTATTTCCTTTAATTTTTAACGATAGAGTGTTTCTTCAAAAACGGTTTGTAGAGGTTTTTAAGAGCTACAAGGATCTGTGAATTAAATCTTTTTGGAACCCTTGGTTTTTAAATGGGGTTAGTTTAAAGGGCTTGAAAAAGATGGTGCTTGATCGTAAATCGATGCCTTAAACGGCTATATCTCGCCAAATATTCATTGTACAACAAATCTATATAAAGGATAATTTTAGTCATTAAAAAAGCTACAATTTGGTAATTTTTATTTTTTTCATATATTCAGTATTTTTGGGCATATTTAAAAAAAGGAGGGTAAAAAATATGAAATTGTAAATCGTTTCTCGCTTTAAGCTGTACTTTTTCTAAAACTAAGCATTTTAAATGGGTCAAACTTTTTTGACGTATTAACAATACATGTACAAAGGGAATTGCAGAAGGGTGAAGATCGATTTTAATTATGAGGGTGGTTAGGGGGTTGTTTTTATCGATTTTTTTCGTAAAAAATGAGGTATTGACCTTATTTTCATCATAACTCACTCAATTTTTGAGCTAGTCTTTTTTTATGATAGGTCTATTTATGCTTTAAAAAAGGTTTTGTGAGTTTTCTTCCAAAATGCATCATTTTCCCGATATCTGACTTTAAATCTTTCAAATTTGGCATTTGAAGAAAACCGCTGAACATTGATAGGCCGTATTTCGGTTCTTATTATATCGCAAAAACATTTTAAAAAATGAATTGTATTTGTCTTTTTAAAAGCTACAAATTTGTTCTCTACAATTTTTTTGATAAAATGCACCATTTTCGAGTTATTCGCGAAAAATCGATTAAAAACGTGGATTTTTTCGTCTAAAAGTTGTTACTCTCAATCGCGAATAACTTGAAAAATATCATTTTATAAAAAAAATGTATAGCACATTTTTTGTCTAGAATCACTTTTTTAATCGAAACCTGTAGTTAAAACGTAAAAAAAATTTTCACCCCGGAGATGGGGTGACAACCACCCCCTAGGCGCACTTTGGTTCGATATAGATTTTGATCCTTAGGCTATTACCTACCTTCTGTTAAATTTCAAGTCAACCCACGCAGCACGAAAAAATTGCGAGGTGAAATGCTTCAGTTCCTGGACTATAACTGGTTTGACAGCATAATAAAATCGGAGATTTATGTGTAGCTTTCAATTTTTACGAGTTCAGAATCCAGCAGCCCGCTGAAGTATGGGATTTTTATAATATAATTATTTGACAATCTTTTGTTGGCTAACCACCTACAGCAGAATTGAGCCGAAATACATTAGATTCCTATGTTCCGAATTTATTTCGTTCAATCTGTATATCTGATACACCAGGGTAGGTCGACTCACGTCGATCGCGGCCCCTAGGACAGTCGATCGCGGACAAGAAAAAAATTATCGGTATAATATACCTACCCATTCCCGTCCTAAATATTACGAAAATTATTGGAGTGTTAGCAATCTTGCATTGATCATCGCGAGCGACTGGCGAGTAATAAAAGCTAATTAATCCAGAATTTTAGCGCTCAGAGCCGAATCGGTTTCAGATTACAAATTCTTTCAGATATCGAAAGCTGATAAAACAGTCTTTCAAAATCAGATAGATTAAGATAGACCACATTTTTTAACCACAAAGACCAACACAAATATACATTTAATAACACCCGTGGACAAAGATCTATGATAGATTATGTTAT